CTGCCTCCCTGACAACAGGGCTCCAGACTCTACGCCCAGCACTGGGGCTGACCCCCACAGGTTCTCAGATAGGGGTACTTTCCTTCTCCTCAGACACTTCCAGGGCTGGGAGGAGAGGGCAGTGGTCTCCCACTTTGTAGGGAAGCCCCTTCTTTGCTGAACATCTAGCGGTGAGAAGGTTCTACATGCAGGAATCGGCCTCTTGCAGTTTCAAAGCTTGGTCTTTGTGACCCCTGCAGCCAACCTATGTGGCAGGTGCTACAATCCCCATGGGTCAGGGGGCGACACTGAGACCCAAGCTCCTTCACCATGCAGGGACTTGGGCCCACCCACAGATCCCCACCTGGGAAAACAAAGTGGCTCTGCTGAGTCTGTCCTTTTCCAGGCTGAAGACCACCCCCCTCAACTCCTGTATTTGTGCAGCCTCCACGGGGCATAGCCTCCAGCCCCTCTCTCCTGGCTGCCTCTCTGGTGCTCACCCTCTGACCACCCAGGCCCAGAGGGATGCCTATACCTAGTTTGTTGAAAGTCTGAAATGAGCTTTTCTGTTAATTTCTCTGACTTCCCACAATAATTTTCTTAGACAGGGAACTGGCTCTCTGGCAGTTAGATTCTAGGACTGATTCTCACAGGCCAAGGCTGGTGCCACCCCACGTGCTCTAAGCAGTTTGAGACAGAGCAGTGACTCCCAAAATTTCTCAATCAGACAAATCTCCTGGGGCACTGGCTAAAACACAGATGCACAGTCATCCCCCCAAGAGTCTGGTTCAGCAAATCCAAGGTGCAGGAATCTGTATTCCTAACACACGGTCTCAGGTGATTCTTACAATTTATTGGAGTGGTTGACAACAGACAGGTAGAACTACATGTATCTTTCAAAGCAGACTACCCGTGCAAAGGACCTAGGGCATGAGAGAAAGTGGTGAGATCAGGGAATCCCACTGATGTTCTCCACAGACTTGGAATAAAATCTGCATGCCTTTTGCCATTATTTGTAGCCCTGTAGCCCCCTGTCGCTTCTCCACCCCACAGGCTGGCCACTCTGCCCTGGCCCAATAGCCTAGTCACACTGGTGTCCGTCACTCTGAGAAATAGGCCCGCGTATTCACTGTTCTGCTTGAAATGCACTCCCTCTGGTCTTGCCATGTCTGATTGTTCCCCACCCTGCACATTTCAGCTTCAATGTCACCTCCTCACAGAGGCCACCCTGGCCACCCATCTAAGCAGGGATCTCCATTCTTCTCTAGAATCATACCCTATTTGTTTCTTTTGTAGCACCAATAATTATGGAGAATGACCTTGTTAATGTGTGTTCCCTGAGGCCAGGGCCTCTGTTGTGTTTATGCTGGGTCCCTATTGGCTAAGTCAGTGCCCAGCACAGGCAGTGGAGGGCAATGAGATGTCCAGGGAACGGAGTAAGAGTTCTGTGTGGGAGGAGTGGGAAAGGGGCAGGCTGAAGTGGGACATGGGGAGAGGGCCCAGAGCATGGATGCTCAGAGTGGTCCTGCCAACCTCCCCTCCACCCCTGCCCCAGGAAAACGGACCCCACAGTGGCCCAGGTTGGATGGGACCTGCTTGGTCACTCAGCTTGTTAGAGCTCAGGTCCAGGGACTTCAGGCCCTTGTGGGCCAGCAGGAGTTCAGCAAGGTACTGGGGCGCCTGCTCCTCTAGGCTGTTCCTTGCCAGCTGTACCCTCTGCATGGCTGGGTTCACCACGAGGGCGGCACACACAGCCTGGGCACCCACTGCTCCCAGCTGGTTCTCCGACAGCTCCACATCTGGGGGCCGGAACCACTCCCAGTCAGTGGGATCCAAAGTCAGGCACGACCCTCCCCCACCCTCATCCATCCCCCAAACCTCCAGGCCTGAGGCAGTGGAAGGGGCTTTGCAGGCAGACTGTCCTGGGGTTGCATGGTGACTCTGCAACCCATCTGCTGGATACCCCACCCCCACCCCATGTGTTCACGAGTTTCTTTGTCAAGGGGTTACACCACCTCCTTTGTGGTGCTGTGGAGGATGCTGTGATGGGGCCACAGCCACCCCGTTGATGACTCGTGCCTGTCAGCAATATAACTCCCACAGAAGCCCTCACAGCCGCATCTCCGGGGACTGGCAATGACAGCCCAGAGGCCATGCACATCACAACCCCGAGGGCTAAGTGATATTGTTGAGTCTATTTCACAGATTGGAAACTGAGGCTCAGGGAGGTTGAGCTGCTTGCTCAGGGTCACCCTGATCTTCTGCAGCAGAGGCGGCATTTGGATTCAGCTCCACCAAACTCCCCCAGCCCTCCCTCCTCTCCCACAGCCAGCCCCTGTCTCTCTGTGTTGAAGGACTCTCCCCCTGCAGTCAGGCACTGGGAGGCCACCATCTGCAGGGGGTGCTGCCCGGCAGAGGAGGAGGTGGAGGAGGGGGCGGGTCAGGAAGGGAGTGGCGTCCAGCCTTGGGTGCACCACCCCCACTCACCCCACCCTGTGATCAGGCCCCTCCCCCAGCAACACCAGCAGGTCCAGGAGGAGAAGGCCTGGCTGTGGGGGGCCCACACCCCTCAGGAAAGGGAAGACTCAAGTCTGCCCACCTATCCCAGGCTTGGCACCTCCCACAGATGCTGCTACCTGGCTCAGGGCACCTGCCAGGGCCTCTGCGCTGGCCCCACAGAGCCCATTGTCCCAAAGGTCCAGCCGCTTGACATCGGGATTGGAGGTCAATGTGGAAGCCAGAGCCCGGGCCCCCTGGGACAGAGAGGGGCCTGAGAGACTTGGTCTATCCCAGGGCTGAAGGCCCCACACATAGCTGGTCTCTACCCTGGCTCCTGTTCCCAGGGGACCCTCCTTCCCACAGGCCCAGGGGACACTGGCTTCTTCTTCTAGGCTCCACCAGACCTCCTGGGGCATTCCCTGACCCCCCAGTACATTAGGGTCCCCTGCAGGCTCCCCAGCCCTTACATTGATCTCCATCAGAGCCTGGATCCCACTGTCCCCCAGATGTGGGGGATGGGACACACCTGGCACAGAGCAAGGCTGAGGAATGTGTGGGGTGGGCTCAGGGAGGGCCATTCTATGGCTGCTCCTCCCAGGTCCTCCCCTCCAAGCCTGGCCCAGGGTCCCTCCAGGGGTACCTGGGGCCCCAGGCCACGATGCTGCAGGCTCAGCTTTGGGGCACTTCCCTGGCGCAGGGAGCAGGAGGCAGGCACGAGGCTGTGGGCCCGGCAAGACCTCAGGTGGATGGTGTCCTTGACCAGTTCTCCAAGCCCATGGGTGCCTGATAGAGACAGGGGTCCATGTGGCCCCCTCCCCAGGCACAGCCGCCTGCCTCCTCCCATGCCCTCTCTCACTACCCAGACTGTTTCCCTCTAGAGGCATTTCTTCCTGTGCTAGTAGGGACTTCTGCCCCATATACAGATGGGGACATCGAGGCTCAGAGAAAGCAAATCCTTGCCCCAAAGTCACACAGCAAGTAGTAGCCGATCCTGGCAGAGCCAGGCTTAGGACCTCGCCTGCCTGACACTGAAGTGCGTGCTGTGTCCTTTCTATGGGATCACAGACCATGTACCTTTTATGAACATTTTATAGGGAAAAACACTGCAATAATTCTAAGTTCTATACATCCGTCAGCTTAGTTTTCCTGTGGCTTGGGAAAATCCAGCCCTGATCCCATTTCAGGAAGGGGTGGGACAGCCCTTCTTAGACTGTTTGACTAGGTTTTTGCATTTTAACATCATTCTGGAAGCGAGTTCTAATAGTGGAACAACTGATGTTGCCAAGAGCATTTTTGGGCAGGCACGGGGCTAAAGGGGCCACGGGTTGCCCTGAAGATGTCCCACGGAGGGATGCGCTCTCTGCTGGACAGGGGTCCCCTGCCCCCTTGGCCCCAGCCTGACCCTTCCACCCCTGCCTAGAAGCTTCCAAGGTCAGGAGACAGGCCTGAACCTCCTGCCTGGGGCACCTTCTGTCTTCAGCTTAGAGTCCACTCTGCGTCCCAATACTCCTCGTCCTCCGGAACCCGTGCAGGACCTTCAGCGGCCGCCACCGCCGCCTCCTCCTGCTCTTCACTCTCCCCAGACCTCTCGCAGGGACTCCTCATGGTTATACTCATTTCGCAGTCGCGGCACTGAGGCTGGGACTGAACCGGGCAGCACCTAGTGCGCAGCCCGGGGATGTGGGCGGACCCGCCGGCTGCATGGACCAATCGAATGTGGCGTGCAGCGAACAGGCACCCCTCGCCCCCTCCTGCAGCCAATAGAGACTCGCTCCTCGCGGCAGTCGCGCTGGCAACCCAGTGCTTTTGGTGCTGCAGCAACCACCGCTGGCCCACGCTGCCCTGAGCCTGCTCCTGGTCAGGGCGCAGAAGGGCGCGCGCCACGGGCCAGGCGCGGGGCTGGACGCCTCGCGGGCGCTGGTTCCCCCTGCCGTCCCGGGTGGGTACAGCATCGCCCCCTTCCGTGGACTGGGGACCGTGCCTGACTCCAGAGCTGGGCCTTAGTCACTGCCCTCGGGGGGTGGGGGAGCTCTGCCGGGCATCGCACAGGAGGGGCTGGGAACCTTGCAGAGCCAGCCACCCTCCTCTCTGGAGCCAGAGTCATGCTCCCACTCTGTGGGTCCCAGTTCTCTCTCAGGCTCCAGCGTCGCATATGCGGCTTCCTCCTCCAGGAACATTCCTCCCCAGCTGTGCTTGCTGAATTTCAGAATCTGCAGGTGTCAGCTCAGAGGTCCCTTCTTCCAGAAGCTTTCCTTGGCCCCTCCTCCGGGCTCCTGTCTCCCCCATGTCCCCCTCTCAAAGTACCTATAACACCTGTCATCCCCTCACCCCCCAAGGAAGAGAGGCCAAAGGGCAGGGGAGAGGGGCTGCTCCTCTCTGAGCCCCAGGGCCAGGCAGACGGAGTCTGGAGAGGAAGGGAGGCCCAGGGCAGCTGGGGGTGGGGACTGAGCCCAGGGCGGGGGTGGGGCTGGGTCCTGCCCCCAGTGGGAGTGTCCCTTTACCAGCTGCTGGCCTGGCCTGGCCTGGGCCCCTGCTTTTCCTCCTGTGCAGCTGGGGCTGTAGCTGCTTTGCTGACTCATGCTCCCCGGCAGCCAGCAGGAGCTGAGAGCATGGGCTCCCCAGGGGCCGCGACAGGCTGGGGGCTTCTGGATTACAGAACTGAGAAGTACGTGATGACCAGGAACTGGCGGGTGGGCGCCCTGCAGAGGCTGCTGCAGCTCGGGGTCATGGTCTACATGGTGGGGTAAGAGAGTGGCTCCTGGGCAGGTTGACTGGAGGGACTGTGACTGGTCCTGCTGTGCTGAGGGTGGGGGGTTACTCCTCAGGGGCTGGGCTGGTGGTAGTGGAGGGGGCAGGCTGGGACAGCGTGGGGGCGGAAGGAAGGATCTCCCTCTGTTAGAAGCCAGCTTGTACAAGAGCAAGCTGTGTGCTTGTGTCCTCCTGTGTGCCCACCTGCTTCCTTTCCTGGGCCTTGTCCCCAGGCCCGTGTTGGGCTCTGGGCACAGAGCAGGATGGGTCTCACTCTGCCCAGGAGGCCCCAGGAGGGGCAGGAGGTAGTCCCTGACTCCTGTGAGAGCTGGAGCCCTGGGGCCCCTGAGAAAGACCACAGTTGTGGCTGGGTCAGGGGAACTTTAAGGAGGGAGCTGGGTCTGGCTGGGGCAGGGGAGTGTGAAGGCTGGGGAAGGAGGTGGTGGTGGGCATCTGGGTCTGAGAGCATTGGCTCTCCGATGCACGGCCAGAACTTCTGGGCTGTGCAGGGTGTTTGGGGTGGAAATGAGGCTGGAGAATAGGCGGGGGCCCTGAATGCTGTGCTGGGAGCCTACAGGGTGTAGGGGCTGAGTGGGTGGGGCCCAGCTCTGCCACTCCTCACCATGTGCTGTGGACGCACCACACTGCCCATCACCTCCTCCCCAGGTGGGCCCTCCTCGAGAAAAAAGGCTACCAGGAGCAGGACCTGGACCCCCAGATTTCCGTTATCACCAAACTCAAAGGGGTTTCCGTGACTCAAATCAAGGCGCTGGGGAACCGGCTGTGGGACGTGGCCGACTTCGTGAAGCCGCCACAGGTGGGTGTCTTGTTGCTGCTGCCAGGCACTGACACCTCTGACCCCACCCGGCAGTGAGTGTGTGCAAGAGGGGCCTGTGATGCCAGAGGGGGTGCTGACGCTGTCACAAGGCTGCACTCAGGAAGGGCCTGACAGAGGAGTGGCCCTGGACAGGGTTCTCGGGGATGCGTAAGAGGTTTCCAGGTGGACAAGGGGGCAGGAAGCCAGGCCAGAGGTACTGCATTCACAAAGGCTGCATCCGGAAGAGTGGGGGGTCTGGGAACTCAAGGCTTGATCTAGAGGGTGGGGTGGAGGGGCAGGGGGCCAGGGCCTGGAGCTCCTGAGTGCTCTCCTCCCTGACCTGGGCACTGTGGTCTGGCTTCTCCTCTGCCCTTCCCATCCTGCATTTCCAGCCCCTTCTCCCTCCACCCAGATCTACAGCCCCAGTTTCCACCTTGTTCTGTTGATGCCCCAGTTGTAGCCCCGGTGACCACCTGCCCCGATCACAGCTGCCTCCTGATGCGCACCCACCAAGTCCAAGAAGAAACCCTTTCCCTCTCCCAGTGAGGCCTCTTTTCATCCACTGAGGGCCATGCCGACTACCACGGCCAAAGCTGGACCTGGCTCCCCACCTTCCTGCCCCTCCTCTTGTACATTCCGTTTCCTGACGGGTTTCCCTGCTGCCCCCGCTGTGCCTGTGTTCTGCTTGTGGGCCGGCAGGTGCGCTCCACGCAGCAGCCAGGCTGAGCCTTCACAGGTGACACCATCAGAGCCTGCCAGCCCTTGCTTTCCACCCTGGGAAGGCTTCCTCTCCATGATGGTGGCCACCAAGTCCCTGCAGATCCTGACCGCTGCCACACCCCTGCCCTCTGCCCAGCCCTCCCCTCCCCTTCCCCAGTGGTCATCCCCGCAAATGTGCAGAGCTGTCACACACAGCACACAGTGCCAGTCACCCTTCCCCACAGGCCCCCTGCCTTTGTCCCCGGCAGAACTCACCACCTGCTCCCCTGGCCCCCAGCCATGTGTGCAATGAGGGATCCAGTCCCCACCAGCCTGGGTGGGAGCCCAGCCCAGTTTAGCTCTGGATCTTCAGTGCCTAGAAGCAGGAGGCTCTTGGAAAATTCTGGTTGAGCGAATAAGAGTGAACAGGAGAAAAAAACTTGCCTCAAAGAGGTGGACAGGGGCTTAGAAATGGCCAGAAACCCAGCCAACCTCCCATCTCTGCCTCAACTTGCCTCACTGGAGGCATTTTCCTAGGGCACAGGGTTGATAACTCGATGGGCCGGGACCCCTTCCCTCACAGACCCGGCTGCCAGCTTCTGGCCTCTCCTACTGAGGGAGCCAAGCAGGGGCCCACCCTGACCCTTGCCTTCCAGGGAGAGAACGTGTTCTTCTTGGTGACCAATTTCCTTGTGACACCAGAACAAGTTCAGGGCAGATGCCCAGAGGTAAGGCTGCCTGGGAGCCTCCCAGTGAGTCCCTGTTCCTCCACCAGCCCTGAGTCACCAGCCGTGTCCCCCTTTCTCCTTCCCAGGTGACTGAGGGCTCAGTACGTGCTACTGTGTCCCAGGCACTGAGGTAAAACCTTTTCATGAATCATTTCATTCAGTCTCACAAACACCCTGCCTGGGAGGAAGTACTGCAGTCCCCATTTAAGATGAGAGGACTGAGGCCCAGCCAGGTTGAGTCACTGACCCAAGGCCTCCAGCCTGTGGGTGATGGGACTTCCCACCTCTGAGCAGTCTGCTTCCAGAGCTTTCCACCTTTGTTCTCTGTGAGGTGTCCAGGCCTCTCCCCATCCTGGTCCCTCCTCTGGGCACTCTCCAGGTGATGAGTGTAACCCCCAGAACTGGGTGCAATGCTTAGGTGGGCTCTAATAGCAAGAGCCAAGCTGGAAGATCACCTCCCCTTCTCTATGCCCAGCCTCTGTTAATGTATCCCGGGGCAGCTTCTGTTTTTGTGGGCAAACACAGCACACTCCTTCTTATGCTGAGCGCAGGGTCACTTATGATCTCTGGTATTTTTCACTACAGCTGGGGTAAAGGCAGAGTGCCCACCCTCTTCTTGCCCCTTCATGCAGAAATGCAGACTCTCCCCCGAAATCTTACCTTTTCCTCTCACCTGGGGATGGCTCAGGAATCCAGCGTCTGTTGCAGAGCACACTCGCTTTCTTCCCCAGCTATGGACTTGTTCTCAATTTTGTTATTGCAATGAAATACACATAACATAAAATTTACCATCTTAACTACTTCACGTGTACAGTTCCTCGATTGTGGATTTTGTCTGAACAGTTGGGACCCAGGACATAGCCCCGGAAGCCTCCCTCCATGGTGACGTCTTTCTTTCATTGAGTCCAACATGGAATTGCTTCCTGGGCTGCAGAGTCACTGTGTGGCCCCCTGTCCCCTCTGTCCTGGTTGTTGGTCCCACCCCAGTTGCTGGGGGGCACATGTCCCTGGTTGGCCCCATCCACAAATGAGGTGAGGCAGGTGCACAAAGGATGTGCTGACCTTCGGAAACACACGCAATGTCCTCCCTTTCTGAGTGCTCGGAGACGTCTAGTTGATGTTCGGTTTGTAGACTGTCCTGAAATTGTGCTGGGGCCACGGTTCTGTGGTCTCTGGAGTCCACGTGATTCCTCTTTGCCCGAGTCTGGTCTTCCAGCCCTTCCCTCGAAGCTGCCAGGGCTGGGTAATTCATCAGACCTGACACCCCAGCTTCCTGAGAATAGCAGAGTTCCTGCCAGCTCCTCTCAGGGTCCTGGTCGTCTGGTCCCTCCCAGCACATGCTCTGTGCTCCTTGTAGTGTCACGGCCTCCAGCAAACACCTGCAGACCCTCCCCCAGACCAGGCTTACAGAACTCCACCCTCCCCACCTCCCGGAGCTCCTGCACAGACAGCC